GCAGCACAGATGGGAAGCCGAGGGCTTTTCTTGGGGCCAGCACAGACATACCTTTGAGGTGCAAGTCTGGGGGCCCCCAGGGCAGCACAGTCAGCTTGAGACGGTGCCACCCACACTGGGGGCGCCAGGAGCCTCCCTGCCGGCGCTGGCAGTGCTCAGCTGCTCCTTCGAGCAGGGGCAGTGACGGTGGTGAGGTCAGACACTTAGGTCACGTTCCCACTGATGCCACACAAATGCCCCCAGCTACTCAGTGAGGCAGATGTGTTTACTTCCCTCTGGGCTCAGTCCCCACCTGAAGACAGGAGCTGGTCCCTTCTGCCTGGGCTGCTGTGAGGGCTGGGTGGGGAGCTCCTGGGCCAGCGCCCGGGCACCCGGCTGCCTGCCCGCAAGCGCGCGGAGTCCTGCTCACCCGGCTGCGGCTCCGCCCCAAGCCTCAGTCTCCTCACTTGGACTCGAGGGATCTGGAGGTGTTCCAACTTTCTGACGTGGGAGCCATCCCAGCACTGGCCTATGACCTTGGTGAAGTTACGTAGTCTCTGCCTCACTCCCCGCCCCCCTGAAGTGGGGGTAATAATAGCACGTCCCTCACAGAGTTGTGAGCATGAGATGAGTTCATCCTCAATACAGGGCCTGACACGTAGGAAGTATAATGTCAGTGCTGCTGCTGCTGTGACTGTCATTGTTATTGTTTTCTTCACCATGTGGATGTGGAAGCTGAGGCCCAGAGAAGTGAGGTGACTTGCTCAAGGTCACCCAGCTAAAAAGTGGTGCACATTAGGATCAAGGCCAAGCCTGCTGAGCCCCAAGGCTCGTACAGTTTCCATCCGTCCCCACTGCGCCTCTGAAGTCACATGCGCAGTAACTGGGTCAGAGGCAGTGTGTACCTGGGTATGACGCAGCAGCAGGGGCCGTGTGCGGATTCATTCCTTGTCTCCTGCCGACACTTTGCAGAGAACAGGCCCGAAGGGAGAGGGAGGTGGAGAAGGAGGTAAGGGGCGATAGAGATGACCCCCAAAGCTAGACTCTAGGAACCAAGACAACAGATGGAAGAGTGGAATCTGATGTGGCCCCACCCCTGGGGCGCTCATGGCCTATTGATGAGGTCAGGCAGGGAACAGCTGAGACCACCCCCAAGACACTCAACAGAGTCCCTGAGAGACAAACCCTGTCTGAATCCTGGGTTCCGAAGAGACAGGAGTTGGCACCTGGGGCAACAGGGAAGGCTTCTTGGAGGAGTGGGACCTGAGGATACTGAGACCCAAGAGCTGGGGTGTGGGGTGTGAGGTGAAGGCAGGCAGCAGGAATGGAGGAAGAGGCTGTAGAGGGGCCCCTGGCAGTGCAGGGCAGTGGTCAGAGCATGAGCCGAACCTGGGGTGATGGACAAATGTTGGGGCCAAAATCCACTGCTTTGTGGCTGTGCCCCTGACTGCCCCTGACTCAGCCTGGTGCCTACCCAGAGCGACTCTGAGGCCAGAGCAGCAGGGAGGAGCCCCTGAGGAGGGGAGAAGAAGGACTCCTAGCAACTTGCAGCTGCCAGTCAAGCTCCCTAGGGATGTGGACACAGCCGGGAGTGGGAGCATTGCACACGCATGTCCTTGTGCCTGCACACACGCGGCCCACCCACCTCAGCAGCCCTGGGGAGTCCACACACTTCAGGAGAAGTAGGTCAGCAGAGCAGCCCAGTGTCCCCCTGGTGGGCAGGACAAAGAGGGCGTGTGCTCATCAGCACTCCTCCAGGAGAGCCCCACACGCCACAGGCTTGAGGACACTGGCAGAGACACAGCCTTGCTGTTCCCGCTGCATCAGAGCCCTTGACGAGGCTCTCACTGGGGATCCTCTCCACCCAGGCAGTGGGTGGGGATTGGACAGGTTGGAAGAGCTGACCCCTTCCAGCCCTGAAATCAAGGAAGACTGTGGTGGGGAGATAGCGCCCACTTTAGCCCAGCAGCTGGCTGCAGCCAGAAGGACCCAGTGCTATCCAGCCTGGAGCTGGGACTGCAGACTCGGCGCCATGGCAGGGTTGGGCTCAAACATACAGGGGGGGCTAGAGGGAGGGGATACAGGATCGGATCTCTGCAGCCTGCCACCGTCCCTTCTCCGGGGGTCTGTGCAATGAGCCAGAGACGCTCTGCGGGTATTCATGTGGCATTTCAGATGGACTCCTGGTGTATGTTCACGAACCGGGAGAGGAAAAAGTAGGCAGGGAAGCTTCTATCAGAACAGGCTTTTTCATGAATGGAGGGGAGGGGGCTGAATGGGAAAGCAGGATCCTGAGGAAGCAGAAGGGGTGGAAGCCAAAGCTGACGACAGGAGGGCTCCCTGCGCCCAGCCAGCTGGAAGGATGCGCAGATGGAGCTCCTCCATTTGGGGCTGGGTGGGAGGCAGGAAGCTCCCTCCTGGTGTTCCTCCTCTCCCTGCGAAGTGGGAGGCTGGTCGTGCAGAGAGGGAAGGGGAAAGCGGAGGAGAGGAGGGGTTGGGTCTAGAAGGAGGGCGGCTGGGCCAGGGTGAGGGTGCGGGCTCTGGAGAACTCACCCCTGCTCCCAGCCCCTGTGGAGCTCAGCCCGAGAGATTGTAGATCATCCTAATGAGAACACACCCACACCTGACACAGGCAGCACTTCCTTTGGGCCACACACCAAGCACTTCACGTCTGTTCACTCATTGAATCCTCACAACAGCCCAGAGGGAAGAAACTTTGTTTTTTTTATCCTCACCCAAGGACACTCCTGCATTCATCTTCAGACAGAGGGAGAGGGAGAGAGGGAGTTAGAGAGAGAGAGAAAAATCGATGTGAGAGAGACACATTGACTGGCCGCCACCTACACAACCCCAACTGGGGCCAGGGACAAACTGCAGCTGAGTTACGTGCCCTCAGTGGGAACCAAACCCAGGTCTCTCTGGATTGCGGGCCGATGCTCTAACCACTGAGCAAACCAGCCAGGGCATAGAGGGAGAAACTTTTTATAGATGGGAAACTGAGGCACAGAGAGATAAAGTAACTTGCCCAAAGCCAACCATCTAGCAAGTGACAGAGCTGAGATTTGAATCCAAGCCGTCTGGCTCCAAGTCTGCTCTCTTGGCTGTGGGTGGTCTTGCAAGGGGTGGCTACTGAGAGTGTTGGGTAACACACCTGGGCTGGAGGTAGAGGGGAGCGGGGTGAGCAGGGGGGCACACCAAGAGGCAGCCTGGGGGTCAACTTGAAGAGCTGCCGGTGCTGGCTCTCCTGGTGCACATACTGGTCCTTCCCCCCATTAGACAAGAAGTGCAGGCCCCAGAAGGGCACCCACTGTCACACAGGCCTGGACTCCCCCCCCCCCCCCCGGCAGCTTTCTGCCCCCAACACCATCTGGAGACAAACTTAGTACCTCTGGGGGTGGTGCATCCAGCTTTTGTGGACGCTGCAGGGGTCAGTCAGGGCTCCAGTGTGGCGTGGGGGGGAGGGCTGGGTCCTGGGACTACAGCTGTGGCCCTGTGTACCTTAGTGGGACTGAGTTGTCATCTGTGGTGGGGGAGGGATCAAACACATCTGTGCCATCCTTCTAGTTTTCTGAGACCTGTGGCCTCCGCCCTCAGACGTCTCTTTCCCCACCCCTGCCTTATTTTTGTCTACAGCCCACGCCACCTTTTATCATCTATACTTCATCTGTTCACTATGTTTATTATCCGTCTCCTATAATGTAAGTCCCACGAGGCAGGGTTCTTACCCATTCGTTCAGTGTCCCCAGGACTCTGAACAACACCAACAGCAGGTGTTGATCAGTACTGAGTGGGACCACCCTGTGAACCCAGGCTGTGGCATATCTTTTTGTTGTTAGTCCTGGCCCGAGCATATTTTTCCATTGATTTTTATTTATTTATTTATTTATTTTCCCCACCCGAGGATATTTTTCCATTTTTTGTACAGATAGAGTGGGAGGGAGAGAAAGGAAGGGAGAGAGAGAGAGAAACATCGATGTGAAAGGGACACATCGAGTGGCTGCCACCCGCACGACCAACCAGGACCGGGGACAAACTGCAACCGAAGTACGTGCCCCTAGTGGGAACCGAACCCCGGTCTCTCCGGACCGCAGGCCGACGCTCTAACCGCTGAGCCAAACTGGCCAGGGCTCCATTGATTTTTAGATAGAGGGGAAGAGAGGGAGAGAGAGAGAGAGAGAGAGAGAGAGAGAGAGAGAAACATCTATGTGAGAGAGAGAGAGAAACATCTATGTGAGAGAGACATATCGATTGGTTGCTTCCTGCATGACCCCAACTGGGGCCAGGGATCAAACTGCAACCAAGGTATAGACCCTTGACCAGAATCGAACCTGCAACTATTTGGTTCATGGGCTGACACTAACCACTGAGCAAAACCAGCCAGGGCACTCTGCATTTTTAAGCATATGCAGCAAAAATTCAGCACTCTTTTTGGACCACTGACCCTGTGTCCAGCCCCACTGTTTGGCCTGGGCACACCTACCAGCTCAACCATTGTGATGACGGACTAGCACCCATTGCTTCTGCAGCGTGACACCCTTCAGACACTTGGTGGCCTTCTGAAAATGCATACCCTTGATGGCCTGGGTAGTTTCACAAGTGTTCTCAAAGTGAACACAAAGATTTGAACCTCTTGATTTGCATGATTTTGCGGGGTTTTGTGGGTCAAGTGAATAGTGAAGCATTTCCAGAGGTCACCTCTGGTCACTTTTGGGAAGAGCTATAGCATGTCTTTGTGTCACTATCATCCCTGACACTGTGTCTGGATGACAGCATGAGACAAACAGGCTGGTGGTACCCAACTGGGGGCCCAGTGGCAGCGACTCTCGAGGATGCTGGCTCAGCCTGGTCCTGAAGCTCTGGGGGAAGGTAACGCAGCAAAGATGCCTGTTGCCCCATCGTGGTCATCTTGGGCCTGGCATCTGACCTCATCCCCAGGGGTCCTGGGTGCTGGGGGACGGTAAGGTAGGTGGAGGAGGGGCCCCAGCCTGATGTCACACTCCGTGCCACACCCCCCACAACAGGGAGAAGATGAGCGTAGGCTGCCCAGAGACTGAGCCGCCCCGCTCCCTGCCCTGCTGTGGGCCAGGGACTGCCCCTGGGCTGGGTGCAGGTGTGCCCCTCCTCACTGAAGACATGCAAGCACTGACCCTGCGCACGCTGGCTGCTAGCGATGTCACCAAGCACTACGAACTGGTCCGGGAACTGGGTAAAGGCACCTACGGGAAGGTTGACCTCGTGGCCTACAAGGGTACAGGTGAGTACCTGCAAGGTGGCTGGTCTAAGGCTGGGTGGGGGCTCAGCTGGGGCTCTCAGTGCCCTCTGCAGGGCCAGGAGGCCAGCAGGAGGTGGAAGCAGTGGTCCCAGTGAGGAGGATGCAGCTGAGTGGCCCAGGGAGGAGGAGACCAGGCAGATGGGACAAAGGAGGAATCTGGGGGCACAGTGCCCAGACTTGGATGCTTTGGGAATATCCTAAGTGCCTTTGGGACAGCCAAGGGGATACATGCAAGGACATCTGGAGCTTAGGAGGGGGTCAAGGTCAGGTCTGGTGGTGGTGTTTGGAGAATCTCGAGCGTGTCAGTGATAGCTGACCCCAGGGAGATGGACAGAGCTATAGGTCCTCCAGAACAGGGCGCCACGCTTAAAGGAGGGCGGGAGAAGACCTGTGAGAACAGTGTGGCAATCCCCATTTCTTAGGTGAGGACACAGACCCAGAGCAATTCAGTCAGTCAGCCAAGGTCATGCAGAGGGTTAGGCTAGGATGAGGCCCCAGTCATCAGCTCCAGAGCCTTCTCACCTAGCCACTGAGCTTGATACCTTCCCCACACGAGGCTCACAGCAGTGCCCTCTCAGTCAGTCAGAGATGGGACTTCATGAGCTCCCACATCTGCACACTGGGGGCAGGGGCTCTGTGCCAACTGACGGCAACAGGAAGATCACTGGACATGGGGTCACCTGAGCTTTGCCACTTGCTTGCTGTGTGACCTTAAGCAAGTGATTCAACCTCTCTGTGCCTAGGTTTCCTACTCTGTAAAATAGGGTAGCATTAGTGCCCAGCTCGTAGGGTCATTATGAGGAGTGAGTTGTGAATGTAAATTGGTGAAGCCAAGGCCTCTGATGTGTAAGTGCTCTGTGGACACAGGTGTGGGTCGCACAGCTATGTACCAGGGAGGCACAGGTGCCTGCCCAAGCAGAGTCAGGGAAATGTGCCTTGCAAGCCCCAACCTCTCGGTGTCTGATTCCTTCTTATGCATTCATCCTTTTAACAAACATTTGTGGAGCACCTACTATGCAGCAGACTCCTGTAGACAGTGGAGATAGCAGTGAGCAAGACAAAGGTCCCTGCACTCAGGAAGCTGCGTTCCAGTTGGGGGAGACGGGGGAGATAATAAATAAATGATATGTCAGGAAGAAAATGAGAAAGAGTAGGGGAAGCTGCAGGCTGGGTGCGGAAGACCCAGGTTGAGCCCAGACTTGCTGCATGGCCTTTGGAAAGTGCTTTCCCCTCGCTGGGTCATGCCTCTGGGACCCGCGTCGTGCCTTGTGCCTGGGACACGCTGTGCAGACTGGCATGGGTGTGAGTCAGGTTCAGGACAGCAGGAGAGGGGGCCTTCACCACTGTTGCCTTGCCAGGCACGAAAATGGCACTGAAATACGTGAACAAGAGCAAAACCAAGCTGAAGAACTTCCTGCGGGAGGTGAGCATCACGAACAGCCTCTCCTCCAGCCCCTTCATTATCAAGGTCTTTGACGTTGTGTTCGAGACTGAAGACTGCTACGTCTTTGCCCAGGAGTATGCACCCGCTGGGGACCTGTTCGACATCATTCCCCCTCAGGTACTTGGGATGATGGCTGAGGGAGGGGAGATGGTCTTCCAGGGCCCCAGACTGTGAGAGTTGGGGAGGAGTCAGGCTCTCGTTTCATCCATGAGTCTTTATTGATTGACTGGAGGGCTGGGGTTCACAGTGAACTACACAAAGGTCCTGCTCTGGTCCTAGTGGGGGACACAGACACTTGGCAATAAGCTAGATAACAGAGGGAGATGAGCACTGGGAGGAAACAGCCAGAGGGATGGATGAAGTCCAACAGCACCTGGGTCTGCAGCTGCAAAGGGCCAGGTGGGGGCACAGAAAGGTAGGCAGCAGGGCCACCAGAGGCTTCTCAGAGGAGGTGGCCCGGAGTGGGGGAAAGTACAGGAGGATGCCAGGCAACCGTCCGCAGTTGGCCGGTGCCAGGTTTGAATCTGCTCTGCTGCCTACTAGATAAATGGCACGGCCTCTCCGAGCCTCAATGTCCCTACAAGAGAAATGGGCATACTAGGAGCCCTGTGTGGAGCTGGTGAGTCAGTACAGGATAGCGCGCCTAGCAGCACCTGGCCCACGGCAGGGGCTCCGCCACCAGTCCCTTCAGTTACCGGGGAAAGGGGTGGAACAGGGAGCTGGAGATGCCCCGGGGGGGGGGGGGGGGGGGGGGGGGCGGGCGGCTGAGGGGGCCATGGAAGAGGCCAGGCCCCAGGCCCGAGGAGGGACCAGGGTGGAGCGCTGGCAGCTGGCAGAGGGGTGGGGCACCGGAGGGAGATGGAAGGAGGACTGAGCGCTCCCCTCCCCCGGCCCAGGTGGGGCTCCCCGAGGACACGGTGAAGCGCTGCGTGCAGCAGCTGGGCCTGGCGCTGGACTTCATGCACGGGCGGCAGCTGGTGCACCGCGACATCAAGCCCGAGAACGTGCTGCTGTTCGACCGCGAGTGCCGCCGCGTGAAGCTGGCGGACTTCGGCATGACGCGCCGCGTGGGCTGCCGCGTGAAGCGGGTCAGCGGCACCATCCCCTACACGGCGCCCGAGGTGTGCCAGGCGGGCCGCGCCGACGGCCTGGCCGTGGACACCGGCGTGGACGTGTGGGCCTTCGGCGTGCTCATCTTCTGCGTGCTCACCGGCAACTTCCCGTGGGAGGCGGCCTCGGGCGCCGACGCCTTCTTCGAGGAGTTTGTGCGCTGGCAGCGCGGCCGCCTGCCCGGGCTGCCGTCGCAGTGGCGCCGCTTCACGGAGCCGGCGCTGCGCATGTTCCAGCGGCTGCTGGCGCTCGAGCCGGAGCGGCGCGGCCCGGCCAAGGAGGTGTTCCGCTTCCTCAAACACGAGCTCACGTCCGAGCTGCGGCGCAGGCCCTCGCACCGCGTGCGCAAGCCCGCCGGGGACCGCCCGCCGCCCGCGGGGCCGCTGCGCCTCGAGGCGCCGGGGCCGCTCAAGCGCACGGTGCTGACCGAGAGCGGCAGCGGCTCCCGGCCCTCGCCCCCGGCGGGGCCTGTCCCCGTGCCCGAAGCCGGCCTGCCCCCTCCGGGGCCCCCCAGCAGGACCGACGGCCGCCCGGACAAGAGCAAAGGGCAGGTGGTGCTGGCCACAGCCATCGAGATCTGCGTCTGAGCCGCCCTGCCGCACCTGGGCCGGGTGCCGGGTGCTGGGTGCTGTGCACGCAGCAGGCTGGGCGCTGGAGCCGCCCTAGGCCCACGCCAAGCCGGCCGTGGTGGTGGTGGTGGCTGCCGAGGCAACACCACCAGTTGGGCGGCGGCAGGAGGGAGTAGTGGTAGACTAGGCAGGACGGTGGCCTGGGCGCCCATCCCTTCCAGGGGTTGGGGAGATAGCCACCAAAGGCCTCTGGCCTGGCCTGTGGGGCAGGGGCTTGGCCCACAGGAGCCAAACCCCACAGACCTGAGGATTCAGAGGCCCCCCCTGACACCAGGAGCAAGTGGACTCCCCAGCTCCTCCCTAAACCCCAAAACCTCTACTAGCTGCTCCTGGCCCTTTGCACCTCCTGGGAGATCATCCTGCAGCCCCACCCCAGGTCCTGCCCTCCTGCCCACCTATCCACCCTGGGCACAGAAAGGGACTGAAGTGTTGAGACTAAGAAGAAGCTTAGGACCCCTGGGCACTAGCCAGAGGGCGGACAATGAGCTGAGGGCAGGGTATTGCTCAGCTTTGTCATGCCCCTTTCCTGGGAGGACGGAGGGGAGAGGCCAAGTCCCTTGCAAAATGTAGCAAAAGTGTGTGTGTAGGTACAAGCCCTAGGAATCTAGTGACTCCCCCCAACCCATTCCCCTGATGAGGACACTGACCGCAGGAGGAAGGCAGGCTTGCGTTGGGCCACACAGCCACTGAGGTGGAGCTCTGGTAGCCCTCACCCTCCTCCCCAGGGGACAGAATTTGGGACAGAAGGGCTCCTAGGGCAGGGGAGCTGAGTCCAGAGGCCGCACCTTCCCCAGGCCAAGAGAACCTCTCAGATCCTCTCAGTCCTTGCTGCCCAGCCCAGACAGTGCCCTGGGGTCTGCAGGCGGTGAGGTGATTTGTGCCAGAAATTTTCCTTGAGTTTCTTCTGGGGTCAAATATGTCAGCCTCAGGCTGACCCTGTCCCCACATCTCACTCATTTCTGGTTCTGGAGTGTGATGCTGTGGGTATGAGAACAGAGGATGCTGAGGAAGCGGGAGGGTGGTGTGTGTGGCGGGTGTGTGTGCGGTGTGAGCGCGGGGTGCGCACATGCACACTAGCCTTGCGTGTTGAGTGACCGCATCCAGATGCCTCAGTCACCCCTCCCTGCCCCCGGATTCTCACCAGGCAGCTGCCAGAGGGCATCCAGGCCTGCTTTTCACCACACCCCTCAGGGAATCTGGCCAGGACTGCACCTGCAGGTTGGTTCAGGACCCTAGGCAGCAAAACAGGAGAGGAACCCAGCCTCACCCAGGCCTCCCTCATGTGCCCTGCCCTCTCTGTGGAGGCCCAGGACCCCGCAATAACCTCAACAGGGTGAGGCTGCTCCCTCTGCCTGGCAGTGCACCATGCACCATTCTGGGCCCTCCTGCCAGGGTCCCTCCAGGGGTTCTAGGCCATTTGAGGGGGCTCCTTGATGGGCCAGGCTGTCCAGAGAAGCCCCAACCACCCTCTGGCCTGGAGTCCCCACCTCCATTCACTCCCTCATTCCCACAGTGCAAAAGGGCTATAAGGTCCCCCTGCCCTGCCTGGGTCCAGTTTACAAACAGGTTGCCCCAGGGCCTGGCCCCCGCTTTGGTGTGCCGCCCTTCTCAAGACCCACCTCTCCAGCGGGCATTGGGGCCTCCACACGCCAGGTAAGTAGCAAACCCCTCCTCTTTCACCAAGGGCCAAGGTCCCCCATCACTGCCCCCGGCCCCCTGGAGCTCACCTGGGCACCTCTCCTTTTGCCTTAGGCCTTTTGACATCCTGTCTCCTGCAATAACAAGGAAGCGAGATTCCAAGTAGATGTCCCTGCGTGTGTCCTCTCTCTGTTGAGATCCTCGTCTTAGTAGCTAGGATGTTAGAGTTGGGAAGGGACTGTAGTTATGTAGCCCACCCACCTTCAGAGGCACAGAGGGGGACAGTGACAGCCTGACTAAGAAACAGGGCTGGAAACGGGCTGCTCTGCTGTCAGCCCTGCTGCTGCCGTTGTCCCCACTGCCGCTTCTGCTGGTGGGGCTGGGACCCTTTGCCCCTTAGGAGAGGTGTTGGTCACAGATGTTTACCTCAGTTTATGTCAATGTCGAAGAAACAAAAAAATAAATAGCAAAAAGTTAACACCGTAGACATGAAGACTTAGTAAACAAAAAACAAAAAAAAAATCCTCCCCTTGCTGTTCCTCTATGAGGTGTGTGTGTGTATGTGTGCGCGCGTGCGCGTGTCTCTGTCCCACCCTGGGCAGGCCCCTGTCCTTTGGTGCTTCCCAGAGGCCCCTCTGAGCTGGCCTGTGGGGTGTGGGGAGCCCCCTCGGCAGGAGGCGGGTTGGTTCAGCCACAAGTTACCTAGAGGGTCTCCCACCAGGTCCCTGAGCAGAGCCTCGAGGCCGCTCCCTAAGCCCCATGCTGTGGCTGATAGCCTGGCTCAGGGCCTGGGTGGGGTCCCAGCGCCCGTCCCAGACCCTCCTATATTGCCCCCCCTCGTGTGTTTGTAAATACTCTGGCATCCTTTGGCCCTGACGAGGTTTTTAAATGTGTTACTTCTCTAATTATGACAGTTGCTATAAAATAAACAAAAATTTAGAAAAAATTACCACTGGGTGGCTGTCTTGTCTTGGTTACAGGGTAGTGGGGTGTGTAGAATTACTCTGGAAACTGAAAACTTGACAGGTGTCAAGGTGGGGTCTGCAGAGCCAGGGCAGCTACTCCAGGCCTCCTGTGACCTCTCAGGCCTAGAGGAGGCCCAGGCCAGCCTGAGCACGAAGCGAACGTGGACTTGTGTTCTGGGGGAGGGGTGGGGATTTGTCCTGGCCTGGAGTCTCCGCCCCTAGACACCCCTCACCTGCTTGTGGAGGTGCCTCCTCGCCCTGCTCCCTCTCCTCAGTCTCTTCAGGCTCTTCTCAGCTGTCAGAGTGAGTCATTGTGCAGATAAGACTGGCCACTCTGTTCAAAACCCTCCAACACTCCCTATTCCACCCGAATCAAAGCTGAAGTCCTTATAGTGGCCTCCAAGGTCCCAGCCTCATCCCCTACTCCTCTGCACTGTGCTTGCTGCCTCCCAGCCACATTGTTCTCACTCAGGGCCTGTACCCTTGCTTGGACTCCCCCAGACCTCCCCAAACGTCCTTCCTCTTGTCCTTCAAGTCCCTGCTCAAATGTCAACTTCTGAGCATTCTGCAGAGTGCAGAAGCTTCATTGTACACCCAGCAGTCACCACCACTGGGAACACTGTTTGCCTCCATCTCTCCCCACCAGCATGGAGTTCCATAGACGAGTCCGTGTTGCCCTGGCCAGTGGGTTCAGTTGATTGGGCTTCATCCCGTGCACCCGCTCGCTGGTTCGATTCCCACTCTGGGCACATACCCGGGTTTGGGGCTCAATCCCCAGTAGGAGGCGTGCAAGAGGCAGCTGATCGATGTTTCTCACCTTGATGTTTCTCTCTCTAAAAATCAATAAAAACATTTAAAAAATGAACAGTCAGTGTTTGGCAAATTGCTACTCCCCTCCCCACCCCCACACCTAGCACAGGCCTGGCACATGACAGGCCTCCATAACAATTTGTCAAATAAAGAGTGAATGTCCAATGCAATAAACAAGACAAACAATCCATCCCCTGAAACTTATTTTCTAAAGAGGAAAACAGACATTTAATAAGTTACATAATTATCTGTGAAATAGGAGTTGGGGTTTTTTTAAAAAAGTGCCTGGGGGAAGACAAGAGAAAAATCCACCCAGACCAGATCAGATGGTGAAGTACTAACCAAGAATTTGATCTAAATCTTGTTATTTCAAAACGTCTGCCAGTTGTCTGCAGTGATAAGGGTGGATACCTGGAAGCAATAATCCCTTTACGTAACGGAATACTTGGGCCCAGGCAAGATAGCTTAGTTGGTTAGAGGATCATCTCCATACCCCAAGTTTGTGGGTTCGATCCCTGGTCAGGACACATACAAGAATCAACCAATGAATGCATAAATAAGTGGAACAACAAATCGATGTTTCTCTCTCAAATCAATCAATAAATAAAAGTGTTTTATAAAAACAGAATACTTGGATTGTTGAGGGGTGGAGGGGACATCCACAAATGCAAACAGTATCACTGCTTCCCTGGCTTGGTGTACAAATAACACCTCTTTATTTGTAACTCCCAATGTGTCTGAGAAGGCCAGCACTTACCACTAGGGGGCCTCAGTTTCTGCTGATGCTTCTGCTTGCCACTCAGCATCACTGCTGACCTCAGGCATCCTCTAGGGCAGTGATTTTCAACCTTTCTCGTCTGGTGGCACACGGAACTAATTACTAAAATTTTGCCAGTCTAACAAAAAATAAGTATAATTTTGATTCATTAACACTGGACGGCTATTGTGTTGGCTGTTATCATTTTTTTATTTGAAAATCTAAGGGGAAAGAGGTCAGTGTCCTGACTAAATAAGTCAGGTGTTGCATGTTTTAAAAATGCTTGTGTTGCCCTGGCCAGTTTGGCTCAGTGGTTGGAGCGTCGGCCTGTGGACCAGAGAGTCCAGGGTTTGGTTCCCGCTAGGGGCACATATCAAAATAAATTTAAAAATAAATAAATAAATAAATAAAAATGCTTGTGTTGCCCGGCTGGTGTGGCTCAGGGGTTGAGCGTTGACCCATGCACCAAGAGGTCGTCGGTTCGATTTCCAGTCAGGACACATGCCCAGGTTGTGGACCTGGGGCCATGTAGGAGGTGGCCAATCGATGTTCTCTCTCATCAATGTTTCTATCTCCCTCTTCCTCCCTCTTTAAAAATCAATAAAGAAAAAATAAAATTAAGTTAAATTAAAAAGGCTTGTGGCACCCAGCTTGAAGACCGCTGCTCTAGGGTGATAAAGCCATCATCTTGCCAGGCCAAAGGGGCTTGATCTGAAGGGTTGCCAGCCTCGCCTACACAGTGTCAGAACCAGAACAACCCCTGGAACCCCTTAGGTCCTTCCATTTTGCCTGGGTCGCCTCCCCTTGATCATGGAAAGTTCCTTCTTGAGGCACTTAATGTCCTATCGGCCCATAGTCCTCAGTCTAGACTAACTGAGCCCATCAAAACAGTACCTATAGCATTGAACTTTAGAAGGAAAGGGATTGTATTCTTGATTACTTTTACCCCCAAGAAGCATCTTGAGCCTTATGCAAAATGTCCCAACTCCTCACTACTGACAGCTAAGCGTCAAAGGTCCCATTGTGCTCTTCACACAGAGCAACACATGCTTACTCAACTTATATCTCTTGAAAACATGTAAACCCCACCCACCCATCTAGTGCCCAGTTCAGGATGGAAATGTGGGTGTAAGAGAATTAATTCAGAGGCTTTTCCTGGCAGCTGAGGGGATGAGAACGTTCATCACCCAGGCTCGGGTTAGTGGAGCTTTGGGACAATGGAGGAACTCAGAGGGTTCCACTTGGAGACAAAGAAGGCAGCACACAGGGAGACTTAGGCTGTATAATTCACAGGCTGCATTGTACACTTGAAATTTGCTGAGAATATATCTTAAGTGTTCTCACCATTACAAAGCCTAACTATGTGAGGTGATGGATATATTAATTAGCTTGATTGTGGTGATCATTTCACAATATATACATTTATCAAAATATCAAGTTGTATACCTTAAATGTGAACAATCTTCATTTGTCCATTTTGCCTCAATAATGCTAAGAAGAAAAAAAAGGAACTAGTAGGCTGGGCACGGCCTGACTCAGGAGGGGGTGAGCCCAGCTCGGGAACCCTCAGGAGCTCGGGGAGGGGCCTGGTTGTCCTTAGGATGTGATAAGGGGCTCCCTCTCAGTGTTAAACAAAAATGGAGGGTGACAGCATAAGGGAGGATTTGGGGCTTATATTTAATTACAGGTGTGATAAGGAACATGGGATGCCGAGAGTAATGTAAGATGTAGTGGACATCTGCTCTTTTTGTCTGTTCAGCACCAATCCCCCCCCCCCGCGTTTAGGAAACAGCACCCTAAGTTTCCTTTCCATGTTTTTGATCCATATGGTTCAGGTGAGGCCGGCTCTATCTCTTGGCTCCAAGGAGTGACCATGTGACCCAGGTCTGGTCAGCCAGCCTATAGCTCAGGCACAGACGTACAAGTAGGATTGGGCGGCTCCTGGCCTTCCTCTACACCTACCGGGGGAAATGTGTTCTCTTTTCATTAGAGTTGCTAAGCTTGTGGGATGTAGCCTAGACCTGCTGTTGGTCATCGTGCCTCCACTAGGGGAGACTCCAGCCAAGCATGAAACCTACACAGAGTTAATGAAGCAGGACCAAGAGATGAGGAAAGATGGATTCTGACGACATTATTTGCACACAAGGATCTATGACTGAAATTAGATCTAAGTGGGTTTTTCAGTTACATGAGTCAATATGTTCTCATAAATCCATTTGAGTTTGGTGTCTGTCACATGCAAATAAAGGAGTTCTGACAGGTATCCAGAGAAATCTCATTGGTAAAATCCCTGAAGCCACCAGTATCTATGAGGCCTGCCCAACAGCAGCTCCTGATCAATGCAATTATTTGATCACTAGGAGCCTAAGCCCTTCAGAGACTAGAGAAGCTCACTTCTGAGGCTGAGATCACCAGAGTATTTGTGGCAGGACAGTAAGAAGCTAGAAAAATTTGGGGGCAAATGGAATGGGGACACTGAGACAGAAAATTCAACAAGGCCAAACAGTTTGGGTGGCTTACAGCCAACTTGTGAATCACAAAACCTTGTCTTCCCCAACCAAGGACACTTGAGAGCAAATGGTTTATACCTCTCCACCTTAACCAGAGAATACCTAGCTTAAGTCACCCTGGCCTTAGAAAATAGAGAACAAAGACCCAATTAATGCCATTTGTGCCAGCTAAACCCAAGGACAGATGAAGTCCAGGGGACAAATAAAAACCTCAAAAGTATTTGGATGGTATCAGTTGAGGGAGGATGTTAGGCAGGAAGATAGCTGCTAGGGCAGAAAGAGGGAAAGGGAGAAAAAAAGGGGTAGGGGGCTTGATCTCACCCACTGAACAAAGAAGTCAGCAGTCTTGAGACTGGCCAAGATAAGATCTCCAGATGTTCTCATAAATTCTATGAAAAGCTGCAACAATGTAAAAGGAGAACCTTAAACCCTAGAGGAGGGAAATGTATAAAACCCTTGAACCCCCACCAGGTGGTATGCTCAGACTAGCAGAGTTGCCCACTTGTGCTTTATGCCAAGTATATTCTTAATAAGTCTGCTTGCTTTGCTTCAACCCTGTTGACACCCATCTGAATTCTTTCTCATGAACTGATAAGAGCTGAGGACGGGAGAGTCACCTCCAACTCAGGCAGCTCTCCAGTAACATACTCATCAGGACCCATCTGGTCCCAAATAACAAAACTCAGTGCAGCCCTGGCTATGTAACTCAGTTGGTTAGAGCATTGTCCCAATATGCCAAAGTTGTGGGTTCAATTCTCGGTCAGAACCAAATTTATTCAGGTGCAGCTTAATGCAGAGGCTTCAACTTCAACACCAGGGCAGTTTTCTCTCTCCATCTGCTCTGCTTTCTCT